CGGCGTGACCATCCCCCCTGGGGGGTGATTTCTCGCTTTCTGTCTCTATGTCTCTCTCTGTCTGTCTGGCGAGCGCACGCGCCCTACAGTGAAAATCTCTCAAAAAAAAAAAAAAAAAAAGAAGTCTCCAGCCTCACCCCTGGGCAGCACTCTTCTGACCCAGGCAGAGAGATGAAGTGGCGTAAGCCAGGGGTTCCCAAGTGGAAAGATTACCGAGATCAGGACTGGGGTTCGCCGCCGCTCCGAGCATGGCGCCGCGCTCTGCCCCGTCGGTGGTCTGCTGGGGTGCATGTGAGAGTGCCGACGCCTGAGGAACCCAAGCTTTTGGACGGCCGCGGTGTGGTGGAAACCCCCGTGGCAGGCCTCTCACGCCTTTCCACCTCTCGATAATGGTTTTCGCAGCAGATGCAGAGACCTGGTTCCGTTTTACTAACTTGGAAATATTCAAACCATCCTTTGCAGACCGGCTCGCTCAGCTGCAGACCCCCTCGAGACTGGCTTCCTGCCTGGGCTCCTGTTGTGTCGGCACGCGTGGAAGCAGGGGATGGGCTCAGCGGCCGCCGCCCGGACGTGACCCCGAAGGAGCAGTGAGGGACCCGGAGCTGCTGGTGAGCCGCGGGCGGAGGGAGCTTGGTTTCCCAGGATCAGCGGATCTCGCCTCCAACCTGTGGTTCTAAGTTCATCTGCACCGCCCCCCAGATGCCTCTGTTACCACTGCAGGGGGCACAGGGATTCAATTTTACGATTCAGGAGTCCCCCAAGGCTGTGTGCTAACTTTATGCATATCTGTATTGTTTAGAGAAAGGGAAGATTTCACCAGATTGTTAGGGTCTGTGACTTTTCTAAAAGGAGCAAAGCACAGAGAAATGAGCTGTCGGCAACCTTGCCAGTGTCCCCTCTAATTTTCCATGTTTGCCTGTTCAGTCCTATCACAAGGACCAACTAAGTGGCATTTGTGAGTATAGGCTGGGCGGACGGGAACACCTGCAGAGCTGGGGCAGCCAGGTTTTATGGAAACCTGGTGTCATAGAACTGACAGGACTCAAGCAGAACGGCAGCTCTTGGGAGAGCTCATGTGCTTTATGATTTCTGAACATGGGAACGGAGGCTGTGACAGCGACGGGGACACCGAGGAGCTTTCCATCGTGTTCTGATCGTTGATCTTAATCAAAAGCGGTTTGCTCTGAATGCCAGCGCTTGCTGGTGGCAGTCCCTACATAGGGTCATTTATCAGAACATGCTTGTTTATATGCATTATAGAACAGGGGACCAACTTCTTCTTTGAAAATGTTTAAGATGTAGACTGGAACAACACTGCATACCCCTGCCTGTAGGAGAGTCAGAACGATAGGGCCAGTTCCACGGCTAAGTGCTCTACGCAGGAGGAGCTAGGCCCTCCATGGGGACTGCAGGTAGAATCCCTGGACTGGTCAGCCCGGGGCACACACGCAAGGACCCAGGGTCCAACAGGTTGGAGGACTGGAGGGAGCAGGCGGTGGAGTAACCAGACCCTGTGGATGGTGCTTTTCTTCTTCTCGCTCCCACTTTCATGTGCGCTATCATAAACAGATTTTGAAAATAAAAATAAATGGGATCTTTAAAACATGGAAGCATTATAGGAGAAAGCCAGGAGGTTAGGTAGCAAGAAGGAAGAATTAGGCCTCTTTTTCCTTCCGTAACCCCCGCCCCCCAGATTACTCAGCTTCAGCCTCACTGGCCCTTGTTTATTATCCAGCCTAAGAAGCCGTCTAAGAAGCCCGAGCGACTGTCATCTCGAGGAGAGAAGTGTCCAAGCTGTCACTCGATAATTCTTAGACACTGACTTGGCGCTGAGCGGGCCTCGCCAGGGTGTCCTCAGCTCACCTCCCATGATTCCTGGATGGCCTGTTTCGAGATGCAGGGCCCGGGCTTCTGCCTAGATTACTGCTCCCCTCTGGGGATTTTAAGTCACTGTGGGAGGGAGAGAAAACTCAGGGTAGTAGAAACTCTCAGAGTAAAAATTTTCCCCTTGCATGTTAATATTTTTAGAGTAATCATTGTCACTGAAAATAGACTTCCTCTTTCCCCGCGCACGCTGGAAAATCTTAGGTAATTATGAATAGAGCATTCTTTGCCGTCTCGCTCCTCCCTCAGTCCTGGCTTACCTCATACCGGGAGGACGGAGGCCATTCATTCTGCCACTGTCCTTTACGTGCGAGCGGGGAGCGCGTTTGTGAGATGGAATCGTTACCTCTAGGAAAAGTCTCTACATCAGTCAGGAGATTTTTCTCTTTGCAGGTGAAGGGTGGGTAAGAAAAAAACTCAGGTTCTTGGGAAAGTGTACATAATAGGAAAAGAAGACAAGAAATTAAAGTATTCACTGCTTATTAAAAATATTCTAGAAATAGGTCTCTTGGGAGTTCTTCCTCCACATCCCCCCAAAGACTTACTTTGCATTTAGGTTTTACAGTTGGGTACGTTTAGCCTAAGACTTCTTTTTCAGGAGTAAATGAGGCCAAGGACTTAGTTTTAGTACATTTATTAGGAGTATGTTCTTGGGGAAATTATTTCACCTTTTTAAGCCTTGCTTTATTTGACCAGGAGGAAAGCAAGCAACAATAATAGGATTGTTTTATGGGTAGTGTGACCGGAGCCGGGACCTCAGGAGGGTCTTAGTTTTGGATTAGTATTTGTTTTGTTATTATCCACTATGATTAATGTTGCTTTTTTAGTTTGTTTTGTTCTGTTTTGTTTTTAATTTACTGGGGTAGTGTGCACTCACCAGAGACAGAGAGGGGGGAGAGGGAGAAAGCAACCTTCGTGGGGCATTGTCACTCTGCAACCTCTCCTCTTCCTATTCTTCATCCTGTCGATTGTAAGCGTGCATGCACACACAGTGTGTTTTTCAAGCCACTGGGGCTGGGATTTGAACCACCCAGCCAGCTATGTGGGATTCCTCTCCCTTCACCATGCTATGGAGGAGGCCCGTTTATAGTCTTTACAATATGAATTCATTCAAAGAATTTCTTGAGCAGGAACTAGGGATGCCTCAGTGCGAAAACCAGTCAAATACAGCTATCCTAGCTCGGCCCAGAATCCAGAGTGGGAGACGGACACGAACGAGATACCGAGTGAAAATGTCATTTATGCTAAACACCAGTAAGTGCCGAGCATGAACATGACGAGGGAGAAAGGAAACTGCCTCCCACGGTGACGTCGTAACTGAGTGTACAGCAGGCAAAGACGCTTCTCGAGGAGGTTGTGTTCTGAGTAAAAGTCTGACAAAGATGCAGAAATAAGCCATGAAGTTACTTGGGGGAAGAACACTCCAGGTAGTGGAGAAAAGCCATAGACGCCTCAAGTGGTGAAAGGTTTCCACAGAGTGACTCAGAATCAGTGCATCGCATGCAGCCTCGTCACACACTGCCAGCAAACACGCTGGAGCCCAGCGTGCGGCGGGGACTTAGAAGGTTCAAGGACTGGCCAGGTCTGTCTGGCAGTTGCTGTTAGAGGAGACTTTGCAAGGGAGGGGTGAGGCATGGCCAGGATCTTGAAGGTGGGAAGAATTCGGTAGGGAGGAAGGAATGAGGTCCCATGGAGAAACAGCATGAGATGGAGTGAGATGGGGCACTGAGGACAGGCGTGGGCCAGGCAGGAGGCCGGGAAGAGGCATGAGGAGGCCACCTTGGCAGAGTTCATGCTGGCAAGTAGTGAGAGAGGTGGGCAAGCTGGCAGAGGCCCTCACACAGACACTGAGGCCGGCGCGGGCGAGGAGCACGACAGCTGTATCTGACAGACTGAGAAGATGAGGGTGGAGGTAACGCATGCTTGGGGTGCTCTAGGAGAGTGAGAGCTTCCATTATGATGAGATAAGGATGAAGGAGCATGAGAGGAAGGGCAAAACAGGGAACACGAAAATGGAGTTATCTGTTGATGACAATGTATGGTAATGTCTTTAGCTGGACTAATATACAATGGGTTCACGCTGAGAAAATTCAGATTGTAAGCTGTCCTAATATGTAGTGATTGAATGTATCAAAACATTTTTAAAAGGTCGATTTCATACTATTTAAAAAAATAAGATAGTTTTTTTTTGAGAGGTTTTTGCTATAGGGTGCGTGTGCTCTTCAGAAAGACAGAGACGAAAAGCTAGAAATCACCCCCCAGGGGGATGGCCACGCCGCAATCCCTTCTCCTCGGGATCTTGGGCACGCACGCACACGCGCCCGGTGCGCGTTTAAGCCACCAGGTCCAGGACTCGAACTGTGGTCCCACGGGAGTCCAGCGACATAGCCATTATGCTGGTCTCATAGTTGTTATTCTCATAAGTCTGGTTCATTTATCTTTTGAGTCACAGGATTTAAAAATCATTTAATGAAATGTTCTCCAAACTGTACCCTTCTGACTATCTTTCTGCTACCTGTTGTTTTATTTTTAATAAAATGTAGTTACCAAGTGAGCATAAATGTATTTAAAGGAGAAAATGTTTATTTTTCTATTTACAGTGGCTCTGTAATTCTTTATGTATTTCCTTACTCTCGCTATTCCACGTACCGCACTATAGCACAGTCCACAGCTTTGCTCTGTGAACGACAGCTCTCTCCTGTGGCACTTTGGGCTGTTAAACTCAGACCAGCATCCGCAGTGTGTGTCCAGAGACCGAATTACAGGAGACCCGACACTCTCACGGATTCACCTGAGAACGCCCACGATGCCTCAATTCACAAATAGCTCTATAGCATTTTTTGCATTAATTCATTTTCCACATGACATGTCCTTTGACCAAGGAAGTCATGCTGAAATAGCCTGTACCCTATAAAAGTCATTTTCACTATTCTTATGTTTCAGTTTCCTCATCTAAAGGTGAAGGATCAGTTGCTTCTATTGATGTCATGGGCTATTTTAAGCAGAAATGAAAGTCTTGGTGAAAAGACTCTGTATTCTGAAAAAAAGGGGGGGGGGCAGTGCAAATAGAAGTACAAAGAATTTTTACCCATTTGTATAGATGGCAATCTAACCAGACATTTTTCTTAAAACACATAAAAATGCTGTGTTTCGTTAGCTTCTTACTGTGGAGAACACCGGGGAGTGGGTTTCTAGGAGAATCTATGCTCGTGCAATTAATGTCATGTTACGTGTGTGCACCCCAACGCTCAGCCATGGGCACATGCAATCCCTGAATCTGGGTGAAGATCTTAGAGGGACTTCTGGCCGTTTTCCCAGGACCTTGAAATCCTGTCCACACTCGCACACGCACACGCACACGCCGTCCTTCCTTAGATTCCCTTTGTGAGCTTCCTTCCTTTGCTGATATCATTGAACGCACTGGGAAAGTGCTAACGTTGTCTTGACCGCCTACGCCAGACCCAGAGTAGGGCTCTGACGTCGGACCCTCTCACTTGCTCCATAAATCGGTCATTTCCCAATTGTTCCCTCTGCCGCTGCTCTTCTGTTTTTTCTCTGATTTAAATTTCAATTTAAATTGGGATGAGCACCCCTTTGTGCTAATTCTTAAATACAACATCTGACTACATGCACCATTTAATATCCTTTGATGGGGGGACTGGCAGATAGCATGGTGGTTAAGGCACTGGACTCACATGACCAACCACAGTTCAAGTCCACAGTT